CCTGAGCATATTGCCTCTCTGTATAAAGACACGTTTTGTAGCCTCCCCAGTAGCTAGATATGTAACTAAGTTCTTCCAATAAGACTAAGTGAAAATGTTATGTGGAACTTTTGTAAAGTCTCCTTAAAAGAAAAGGGGCGTGCCCTTGTTACATTTCTCCTTCCTTCTGTGTAGAATGTCCATATAATGGCTATAGCTACAGTGGCCATCCTGGACCGTGAAGTATAAGGTACATGCTGAAAATAGTGGAGCAGAAAGAGAAGCTGAAGAACTGTTATATCATCTCAGGACTACCTACTTCCAGACTTTTTTAATATAAGAGGAAAATAAACTTAAATCTTATTTAAGTTATTGTTATTTGGGGTTTTTCTGTTAAATGTAACTGAAGCTAATCCTGACTAAGACATTGGATTGGTGAAAGCATTACCTACCTCAGTGTTAAGGAGTAGTTTTATATTATGGAGAGGCAGAGCGCTTGGTGCTAAAATCTTTACTGAATGAAGGGGAGTCAACAATTCTGTAAATAACTTCAATCAGAAGTTATGGGTGCTTCAAAGGAGCTGGGGAATTTGGGAAAGCAAGGCAGAACAGTGAAGGGGTGGCCTGCCCCTCCACACCCGTGGGTGTTTCTCGTTAGGTGGAATGAGAGACTTGAGAAAAGAAATGAGACACAGAGACAAAGTATAGAGAAAGAAAAAGTGGGCCCAGGGGACCGGCGCTCAGCATACAGAGGACCCATGCCGGCACCGGTCTCTGAGTTCCCTTAGTATTTATTGATAATTTTCTTTACCATCTTAAAGATAAGGGAGTGGCAGGACAATAGGATCATTGTAGGGAGAAAATCAGCAGTAAGACATATGGATAAAGATCTCTGTGACATGAATAAGTTCAAAGGAAAATTCTGTGCCTTGATATGTATATGCAGACATCTCCATAAACCTTTTAGCAGCATTGCTCCAGCAAGTCCCACCTTTTGCCGTAAGGCGGTTTTCTCCTATCTCAGTAAATAGAGCATACAATCAGGTCTCACACTGAGATGTTCCATTGCCCAGGGACGGGCAGGAGACAGATGCTTTTCTCTATCTTAACTGCCAACAACTGCCAAAAGGCCTTCTTTCCTCTTGTACTAGTCCTCCTCAGCACAGACCCTTCACGGGTGTCGGGCTGGGGGATGATCAGGTCCTTCTCTTCCCACGAGGCCCTATTTCAGACTATCACATGGGGAGAAACCTTTGACAATACCTAGCTTTCCTAGGCAGAGGTCCCTGCAACCTTTGGCCGTATACGTGTCCCTGGGTGCTTGAGATTAAGAGAATGGTGATGACCTTTAACCAGCAAGCTGCCTTCAGGCACTTGTTTAACAAAGCACATCTTGCACAGACCAAAATCCATTAAGCCTTGAGTCACCACAGCACATGTCTCTTGCAAGGACAAGGTTGGGGGTAGGGTCACAAATTAACAGTATCTCAAATACAGAACAAAATGGAGTCTCTTATGTCTACTTCTTTCTATATAGACACAGTAACAGGCTGATCTCTCTCTCTTTTCCCCACAGAACAGCAGTGAAATTAGGGCAGCATGAGGGTCAAGGATGACATATATATACCCTACCTTCTTTCTTGTACTAAGATCTTGGCTTTTTATGTCTTGTGTTTGATTGAGGAAATGAATTATAGACAAGGACATAACACTTTTGTTTTAAACCACAACTGAACATTAAAGATAACAAACTGATTTAGATCAATGACTCAGAATATGTTTTGGAAGAGCATGCTTGTCCTGCAGACATTTCAAAATGTTAATCACCCTTTAATCTCCTTCATCACTTTTTAAAATTATTCACTGTTTGATTTAATCCTTCAAAAGTCATCTACCTCCCATATTGAATGTATTCATTTAATTAATTAATTCTTAACTTACTGAGGTCTTACTATGTTCCAGCCACTACATCAGGCACTAGGAACACACAGATTAAGTACAAAATGTATTCCATCAAGGAGTTTACTAGTTCAAGGAGGAAACAGGTGAGAGAACCAACTATTGTTACATAGTATGATAAGGCTATTCATAAAATGTAATTGAGAAGGACACCAGTTGTAATGAGAGCACAGAGGAAGGTGACCTATTTCATACTGAGGGTCAGAAAGGTATTCCCTGAAGAGATAACAGATGACCTGAATCTGGACAATGGTATAGGTGTTAGCCAGCTGGGCCAGTGAAGAATTTATCAAGAGGAAAGTACAGCACAAGAATGTGTATAAAAGCATGGAAAAACTTGGCGCTCTGAGAAATTCCATTAGGCAGTCTGGAGGTTGTTTAAATGCTGTATTATTCCTAACAAAAGTAACGGGCCCAGTATTAAGTAAAATAATCTTATTTATGAATGTACATGACATCAACATACCATAAATTTGCTAGTGGGGTCTGCTGGCTTAATGTGCGCAGCTTCAAGAAAGAACATATCTAAGTGATTTTAAGAAGTTGTATATTTTGACTTTATATCACCATTTTACATTCTCTATAATTATAGTCCATACTTACTCAGCAAAGGAAGCAAAACTGCTGCATTAAGTTATATTATGCATTATTAAAGCAACTTAATTTATGGAGAAATCATAGAAAAACATAGTAATTTGAATGACTGGTACTAGCCAGTTTTCCTCCTCTGAGAAAATTCTGCCAGACCATAGCTCTGGGTCAAATCCTGAGCCAAAAAATAATAATAACTCCACATTTCTTCTTTTTATTTTTAAATTTTATAAGAGTTTTAGATTTAAGAAAAGTTGCAAAAATAGTACAGCATTCTCATATACCCCACATCCAATTTTCTTTATTGTTGACATTTTACATTCCTGTGGTACACTTGTCACAACTAATAAACCAATATTGATACATTATTAACCAAAATGCATACTTTATTAATATTCCCTTAATTTTTACTTAAAGTTCTTTTTCTGTTGCAGGAGCCCATCCAGGATACTACATTACATTTAGATGTCATGTCTCCTTAGGCCCCTTTATTCTGGGACAATTTCTCAGACTTTCTTTGTTGATGATCTTGATGGTTTTGAGGTAGTCAGGTATTTGTAGAATATTCTTCAACTTGGGTTTGTCTGATATTTTTCTCATGGTTCGACTGGATTATGGTTTTTGAGAGGAATATCACAGAGAGGTAAAGTGGCCTTCTTATCACTTCATCTCAAAGGTACATACTGTCAATGTGACTTATTACTGTTAGTGTTAATCTTGATCACCTGAGATAGTGTTTATCAGATTTCTCCACTATAAAGTTATTTTCCCCCTTTTCATACGTAATTTTTGGAAGGAAGTCACTATTCAGCTCACACTGGAGAAGTAGAAGTTCTGCTCCATATCCTTGAGGGCAGAGTTCATAAGTTATTTGGAATTCTCCTTCATGGGAGATTCATCTATTCTACCCCATTTATTAATTTATTCAATCATTTATTTATATCAGCATGAACTCATGGGCATTTTTCATATTTTATGTTGTAATTCAATACTAGGTTATTTTGTTGCTCAAATTATTCTAGCTTTGGCCATTGGGACCACTTTGAGATGGCTCTTGTGTCCCTTTGACATATGCCATTGAGTTTGCTTTTTGAGCACTTCCTTATTTTCTGGCACTACAAGAATATATATATATATATATATTTGTAATCGGCTTTAAAATAATTAGGAAAATGATAGAACATTTTAATGTAAGAGCAAGATATAGTAAATTGATGAATATTATTAGACATTATCAGTAACAAGAGCTTTGTATCTTAAGTTGTTTTTAGTTCAATTTCCTGTTCACATCTTACTTTTAGCTTGGTTGAGTTAAAAAATCATTAACCAATGATTTTTTTTTTGTAACCTTATATATATGTACAATGAGAGAATCAATTAATTTAGAATTACATACTCCTAATTTTAAAAAGAAACTGGTGTACTTATTGCCGAAAACTAGGAATTATATTATGAAAGGACTGTTAATTCAACAAATTTATATGCTAAAAGAGAAACGAATTTATATGTTAAAAGAAATTAAAAGGAAGCAAGAGACATTCAATTTGCTTTTGATCTGCAGATTTAAAAATACTAGGTTCATTTTAATAGATGATAAATCTCCAGTATCACAAGGATTATGGAAAGCAAAAGACCTGAAAAGTAATACCAATTCTCAGTTCTAACTCTCAAAAGGCATTCCACAGGTAAATTCGGTGAAAGGGTAGGCAATTGTCTAAATGCTTAAACAAGAAGATGTTGTAGTTCTCACATTTCTGGTTCTCTTACATGTGTTTGTATTTAGAAAGACAATAATCTCTAATGTTGTTCTTTTCCATTGTTCAAATTTATCCTGTTGTTAAGTAATAAGCAGCAATCCAAATACAAACGTATTGTACAAGAGCTATTTATGAACATCACCTGAGTTCAATGTGCCTGACAGCTGACACTTAGTGAATTTCTCCATGAAACAAGAACAGTGAAACTTCCACAGATGAGAAAACAGAATCATCAGTGGCACTGGGATGTAAACCTAAGTCCCTGCTTTGCATTTCATGTGCTCTGTTTTTCAGAACTACACTTTATGACATGAGAAAAACTGGTATAAGCAGAATGTTCGTACATTTAGTTAATATCAATTCTAATTTAATACATAAATGACTTGTTCAAATACTTATTACTTAGACTCCATGTAAGGGAGGAGAAAAGGGGAGAAAATTAGAGTGGGGGAAGATGAATCAAATCACATTTATAGACCACACTACAACAGTTGGAAGCTACTTATCATATTTCCTAAGATAAAGTTGTGTTGGATCCTAATATGGGAACAAAGAGATTTAAGAAGGTAGGACAGCTAATTTAAAATCCCAAAATTCTCAACCAAGTTGATCTCATTGGCAGATGGTAGATTATCTGAATGACTGTGAGCCTAGAAAGTTGAAAGTAATTTCTTTATTGAGAAAATAAAGACATGGTCCCTAAGGAAAAGGGCTAAAAATGACCATGTATCAAGTACACTAGTGAACAGCAAGTGAAACAAAATGTCTTAAGCATCTATGTCTTATCTTAGAAACATACAACTATTGTAAGAACATTATTTCTCTTATCTCTCAGGAAACATTTAGTTATAATATGAAAAAAAAATTGAGCTTCTAATAGAAAATCAAATCCTATCAGAAGAGTTACGTGGAGTAAGCGATTTTACACAGATGCTGACTTACTCTCCCTACCATAAAATTTGATAAACAACAAACATTTATGAAGCATCTACCACATGTCAAGAACTCTGCTAAAGACATACAAAGATGACTAAAAGAGTACCTGAGCTCACAGTCTAGGGATTACCACAAGGAAGAGTGATGGATCACGAGTGGAAGGGAGATGAGTTACTACAAATGAAAAACAGGTTTCATTGTAGGAAAAAGGAAAGTGAATTAATGCTTTTGAAAGAGACATTAAAGTAGATTTCTGGGCAATATGAAACTGAGAGTCAATCTTGTCAGATTCTGAAGGCATCTGTAGATAAGCTGCCCAATGAAAAACAGGGCAGTGACAATAGGACAACTAGAAATAAGCTATAATTATAGCAAAGAAGGCAAGAGCTAGCATAAACCTGCCCATTGTCATTGTTGAAGTCATAGAACTACTCCTTTCAACTACTCTTGTCATCAGAGGCTTCCTGATGCGATCATCTGTGGTGAGGATAGCTTTTCGAGCCCCATCCCACTTTCCAGGGCCCTGTAGACGATAGTGGATTGGGGTGCAGGGTCCCAGTAATAAGTGTAATGCCAGCTTGGGGTCAGTGAAGGCCAGAGACAGCAGATTGGGCCTGACCCCCACCAAATCAGCAAGCTCTTCCATGGTATCTATGTAGTCTCCCTGAATGGTATGGCGTTGGCTCTCCACATACCTGAAGTAGAAAAGACAGAAACCGTGGCCTAGCAATAATTCAATCAGTCAGTCAATCAATTACAGCCTTCTGAGTGCCTGCTATTGGCTTAATATCGGACTAGGAGCTGTGGAATATAGAGGAGAAAGATAAAACATTTGTCACTGTCCTTAAGGATCTTAGGATCTACAAAAGGAGATAAAAGAGATAAACATGAAGCAGAGACTTCTGAGTGGTTTCAGACTGCTAAATAGGAATGTGGAGAGGGGATAGTTAAAAGAGAGCTGTAATCGTTAGGTTCTTGAAGGATGTGAAAGATACAGATAAGATGAGGGACAGGTATAGCACATTCAGATACAAAGGACTCTGATGTTAGGAGAAAGAGAAAACCCATCACAAAAATTCTCAAGTATGGCATCCTCAATTATTTTATGAGGGAATGGTGACAGGGTCCACAGGGCAGGACTTCCCAGGGCCAATGTTAATTTGGAATCCTGAAAGGATGAGGGAGAATGACTTACTCCACAAGAGGAAGTAGCCCTCCAAAATGGAGACAAATGAAATGATTATACCAAGTACAGATTTAAAGACTTAAAACAACTTTTTAGGGGGAAAATGTGTTTGATTAACAGTGATATCTGTGTGGTGGAGTGGGATTTGGTGAGCTAATGAGTGACTTTCACTTTTTACTTTCTGTAATGAAAAGAAAGAACTGTAGGACAGAGAAGAAGAGAAAAGCCAAATCAAGCCAGTTGAGATTGAAGAATCCAGGGATAGGGACAGGAAAAAAATGATAGAAAATAAATTTGAGGTAGAACTGGTGAGATGGAATTTCAGAGGACCTGATAGAGGGTCAAGTAGGAATTTATTGAAATGGGACTAAGTTTAGGAGAGAAAAAGGTAAAACTGTAAAAAATTTGAGAGCTTTCCGTTATGAACAATATGTTGGCTTAAGGGTTTGTAGGCATACATTTATTTGTCCTATAATAGTAGGTCAAGATCTATACTATTCACGAGGTTGGGCATGGTGTTTCACGCCTGTAATCCTAGCAGTTTGGGAGGCTGAGGCAGGCAGATCACTTTGAGCTCAGGAGTTCGAGATCAGCCTGGGCAACATGGCGAAACCCCATCTCTACAGAAAACACAAAAATTAGCTGGGCATTGTTAGCGCGCCTGCAGTCCCAGCTACTTGGGAGGCTGAGGCAGGAGAATTGTTTGACCCCAGGAAGTGGAGGTTGCAATAAGCCAAGATCACACCACTTCACTCCAGCCTAGGTAACAGAGTGAGACCCCATCTCAAAAAAAAAAAAAAAAAAAAAAAAGCTATAGTATTCATGAAGGTTTCACAAAAGAGGTTCACTATCTTCTACCTTGATTATGCAGATTAAATAAACTCATATAAAACAATTTATATACATAGCCTTTAATAAAGGTTATATTATATCCTTGGGTTACTGACTACTCAGGGTCAGAAGGTGGTTAGACAAAAATAAGTCAAAGGAAAGAGAGGAGGAAAGTTAAAATAAGATACTTTAGAGCCAGAAAAGAAAGCACTCCAAGAAGGAAGAAATGTTTAAAAGCACCAAACTCAGTAGTGAGAAGAAGGAAAATGAAGCTGGTCACAGGTGACCTTTAAGAGAGCAGTTTCCGACCAGTACGGTGGCTTCTGCCTGTAATGCCAGCACTTAGGGAGGCTGAGGCGGGTGGATCACGAGGTCAGGAGTTTGAGACCAGCCTGGTCAACATGGAGAAACCTGTCTCTACTAAAAATACAAAAATTAGCTGGGTTTGGTGGTGTGCACCTGTAGTCCCAGCTACTTAGGAGGCTGAGGCAGGAGAATCGCTTGAATCCAAGAGGCAGAGGCTGCAGTGAGCCAAGATCGTGCCACTGACTCCAGCCTGGGTAACAGAGTGAGGCTCCGTCTCAATAAATAAATAAATAAATAAAAATAAAAAGGGCAGTTTAAGGAGTAAGGATGGAAGTTAACAATGCAGAAGGCGTAGGAGGGAGCAAAAGGTGAGAATTTAGAAAATTTAGTGCAGAAGTTTGGCAGTGAAAGGAAGGAGGAAAATAGGAGAGCGCCTGGAAGTGGTAATGGAATTAAATAAAAACTTTCTTCTCCTCCTACCTGAAGGAAAGTTAAGCTAGTATAATCAGTTGAAGATAACCACCTCTTTAGGCCTGGAACGATTGTCTGTCAGTTTTCCACAGAAATTTGGAGACTTACCATCAATTTTCACTTTGTCCAAATGAAAAACACCCAGCGATTGAGCTTAAGTTCTGAAATTCAGACTGCTAAATGACTGTGTTCACCAAAACACTAAGCAGCTGGCTGTTACCATGTTCCCAGCTCACATGGACTATTCATACCATGAGCCACTGTGACTTGAGCATGCTGTCACATGAGCATAGCCAGCAAAGTGGCCACTGCAGACTTGTAAATCTACCTACAGATTTGTAATTCACCCATAGCTGCCTCTCATTCATCCACTGTCACTCTTCCTTCCTCTGGCAAGTCTACTAGCACGTCAAGTAATCCTCACAAAAATAATACACCTTCTGCCTTCTGATTGTATTTCCAAATGTGTTTTCCGATGTGACTTTTGTAAGGCATTAAACATAGGATTTTAGACACCTAAAACTTTTCTCTCCTTTCTTATCCATATGTGGTGTGCACCTGTAGTCCCAGCTACTTGGGAGCTGAGGCAGGAGAATTGTTTGACCCCAGGAAGTGGAGGTTGCAATAAGCCAAGATCACACCACTTCACTCCAGCCTAGGTAACAGAGTGAGACCCCATCTCAAAAAAAAAAAAAAAAAAAAAAAAGCTATAGTATTCATGAAGGTTTCACAAAAGAGGTTCACTATCTTCTACCTTGATTATGCAGATTAAATAAACTCATATAAAACAATTTATATACATAGCCTTTAATAAAGGTTATATTATATCCTTGGGTTACTGACTACTCAGGGTCAGAAGGTGGTTAGACAAAAATAAGTCAAAGGAAAGAGAGGAGGAAAGTTAAAATAAGATACTTTAGAGCCAGAAAAGAAAGCACTCCAAGAAGGAAGAAATGTTTAAAAGCACCAAACTCAGTAGTGAGAAGAAGGAAAATGAAGCTGGTCACAGGTGACCTTTAAGAGAGCAGTTTCCGACCAGTACGGTGGCTTCTGCCTGTAATGCCAGCACTTAGGGAGGCTGAGGCGGGTGGATCACGAGGTCAGGAGTTTGAGACCAGCCTGGTCAACATGGAGAAACCTGTCTCTACTAAAAATACAAAAATTAGCTGGGTTTGGTGGTGTGCACCTGTAGTCCCAGCTACTTAGGAGGCTGAGGCAGGAGAATCGCTTGAATCCAAGAGGCAGAGGCTGCAGTGAGCCAAGATCGTGCCACTGACTCCAGCCTGGGTAACAGAGTGAGGCTCCGTCTCAATAAATAAATAAATAAATAAAAATAAAAAGGGCAGTTTAAGGAGTAAGGATGGAAGTTAACAATGCAGAAGGCGTAGGAGGGAGCAAAAGGTGAGAATTTAGAAAATTTAGTGCAGAAGTTTGGCAGTGAAAGGAAGGAGGAAAATAGGAGAGCGCCTGGAAGTGGTAATGGAATTAAATAAAAACTTTCTTCTCCTCCTACCTGAAGGAAAGTTAAGCTAGTATAATCAGTTGAAGATAACCACCTCTTTAGGCCTGGAACGATTGTCTGTCAGTTTTCCACAGAAATTTGGAGACTTACCATCAATTTTCACTTTGTCCAAATGAAAAACACCCAGCGATTGAGCTTAAGTTCTGAAATTCAGACTGCTAAATGACTGTGTTCACCAAAACACTAAGCAGCTGGCTGTTACCATGTTCCCAGCTCACATGGACTATTCATACCATGAGCCACTGTGACTTGAGCATGCTGTCACATGAGCATAGCCAGCAAAGTGGCCACTGCAGACTTGTAAATCTACCTACAGATTTGTAATTCACCCATAGCTGCCTCTCATTCATCCACTGTCACTCTTCCTTCCTCTGGCAAGTCTACTAGCACGTCAAGTAATCCTCACAAAAATAATACACCTTCTGCCTTCTGATTGTATTTCCAAATGTGTTTTCCGATGTGACTTTTGTAAGGCATTAAACATAGGATTTTAGACACCTAAAACTTTTCTCTCCTTTCTTATCCATATTTAGACTACTAGTGCTATTTCTCCATTCTATTGTCACAGACTATTTTTCCTTTTTTCTTCATAATAGAATCTAAATCCTCAAGCTAACATGAGGAAGATAAATATAGTACAATATTTCTCTTATTAAGAAATAAGTAGAAATGTAACCATATATCTTCCTGGGAGATTTTCTTACCTTTTTTCAATTTTCTCTTGAGTTTTAGATATTTCTGCCATCATTTCACTCTGTGAGGGCAATGTCTTTAGCCCTAAAGATAAAAATTAAAATTTTAACTGTAAAATTACCTCAGTAGGAACACTAATCCTATAAACAATTACTATGCTATGGAGAATTCAAAGAAATACAGGATAGTTTCCTGTACTCAAGGAGGTTACAATTCCCTTGATCATTACTCTACCACCACCACAATATAATATTAACATCTGTAGCTTACTCTACTTATTCTCCTTTGTCTTTGGAAGAGATTTCCCCTACTCTGACTTCCAACCAATACCTGCCTCCTCCCTGATGTAGTCTTTCAATTGGGAAATGAAATATGGACATGAGAAAATGGCCTTAAAAGTATATGGAAAATCAGTTACAAAGTTAAAGGGCAGGGGAGTGGGGAAACACACCTGCACTTGTATTCTTCATAACAAAGGGGCCTTATATCAACAGAAAGAGAAGGAGTAAAAATAATAATTTTTTTTT